CGGTCAATCTTGCGCATGTGCGATTGCACCAGAACTGGTGCCTTCAGCCATTCTCACAAGTCTAAATTTGATCCGTTAACCATCCGGAATCCACCCGAGGCCCTCGGGACCTCGACCAAATATATCAACCAGTCCTAAAACATCATACGAACGTAGTCGAGCCTCTTTAAATCACATCAAACAACGCTAAAAATACGAATTGCACATCGATGCAAGCCTAATGAACTTTAAAACTTCAAACTTCTACATCTGATGCCGAAACCTACCAAAAAGCTAAAAACTTCAAACTTCTCCTTCCGCATCTGCGCCCAAAAAGCCGCATTTGTGGTGCCGCACCTGCGGCGACGCATCTGCGGCCATTCCCACCGCAGGTGCGAACGCACCAGATGCCTGAAACTTCAGGAAACACTCCAAGACCAAAATTAATCCGAATTCAACCCGAAATACATTCGAGGTCCCCGGGACCCCATCCAAGCATATCAGCAAGTCCTAAAACACAATAAACTCGCTTGAAGCCTCGAATCATATCAAACAACGTCAAAACCACAAAACGCACATCGATTCAAGCCTAATGAACAAATGAACTTCCAACCTCTAAAACTAATGTTGAATCATATCAAACCAATTTCGATTGACCTCAAATTTTGCGCACAAGTCATAAATGACACAACAAACCTATTCTAACTCTCGAAACCAAAATCCGAACCCAATATCAACAAAGTCAACTCTATGTCAACCTCTCAACCTTTCAAACCTTCAACTTTTCAACTTTCGCCAAAACACACCAAATCAACCTACGGCTCTCCAAATCCAAATCTAGACAGACGCTTAAGTCTAAAATCACCATACGAAGCTATCGGAATCATCAAAACTCTATTCTAGAGTCGTTTACACAAAAGTCAAACTTCGTTCAACTCTTTCAACTTAAACTTACAACCTTGGGACTAAGTGTCTTAATTCACTCTGAAATATCCCTGGAACTAAATAAACCACCTCGTCAAGTCACGTAACCATAAGTGAATATAGAACGAGCAATAAACAGGGGAATGGGGCTACAATACACAAAATGACTGATCGGGTCGTTACAGTTTATGTAACTTTCGAACAAAAGTTGTACTTATTTCTTTTACCAGCTTTATAAATCCAAATCATAGTGGCTCATGACTTGTATTACCAGTCCTTGGGATAGTTATATTGATTATTTTGCGGTTTTATTTATAACATTGATGATTTCTCATTGTAGTAGTAACTTATACTATTTGGCTTACCTAGCAGGTTAGACTAGGTGCCATCACGACTTGGTGGGGTTTTGAGTCGTGACAAGTTGGTATCATAGCTCTAGGTTCATAGGTTCTATGAGTCATGAGCAAGTGTCTAGTAGAGTCTGCAGATTGGTATGATAACATCCATACCTATCTTCGAGAGGCTACAGGGCATCTAGGAAACTTCCCTTCTTTCTTTCCTTATCGTGCGACATTGTTTAAGCTTGAAGCATGTATCTTCAATTTCTTCCTATTCACTCATAGGTGATGTTGCGCACTCGGTACCAACTATGCACCACGACTTATGATGTTGCAGATGGACTACAGAGACTATGGGTGCTTGATTATCATCTCGATGTGTTTTCTAGACTTAGAAGCGGATGCGGTGATAGATCTTTCAATTGTTCCTTTGTGGTATGCAGCAGATTCTTGTATCTGGTTGGTGAGTACGTACTCGGGAGGATTAATTGGTTGCCTAGTTATTTTGACCGCGGAAGGGTCATGGGAAGATGTTGATTTGATGTTAGCCGGTGGATTTGAGGTTGTGTGATTTGTATGATGCTTCTATACAGTAAAATGCATATACTACAATTTCGGAAGGCTTGAGAAAGTTTGTGCGACTGTCATAAGGATGAGTATACATTTAGCAGAGTCCTTTGAGTGTTTATGACTAAAGTCACCTAAGTTTATGAAGTATTCAGATGATTAACAGTGAGAGACCATGGCAGCTACGAAGAAGGGGGCACTGTGGATTACAGGTGATGTGTTCTATGGCTTCGAGCCAAGTGGGGAGTATTCTATCGACGATCGGATTGCACGACCGTGCGTTATATTAGTTCTTAGACTAGGATGTGCTTGCGGGTTGGCTATGATTTGAGAAAGATTTCATCGAGGTTGATTTAGATCAAGGGATCGGTGGATGTATGATGTACTGCACTTTATGGGAATATAGAGGTCTTGGGATGATTCAGGTTTGATGCTCGTTGTGGATATAGTATGCAAGGAAAAAGAATCGATTGGTTGCTTCTTTTGGATATCCATGTGCTGGTGGAGCACGGGTTATGTGGTGTGTATCGGTTGCGCATTGGGGATTAGAGCAAGATGAATGACTTTCGAGAAGGATCCAACGGGCTCAGGACTCGTTGTCCTCCACTTAACTTCATTCTTAATCTTGTTTTTCTTGGTATGTCCACACATCCATCTCAACATCCTCATTTCAGCTACTTTCATCTTCTGGACATGGAACTTCTTGACAGGCCAACACTTTACTAAAAAGTACTTTTAAAAAAAATATTTTTTAAAATAAGTTTGATTTTAAAAGCATGACCAAAATGCTATTACATTAATGTAAGTTTTCTATTTTCTATTACATTAATTAACGTAATAGAAAAATCTTACGTAGTAACAGGTACAAACCAGATAGAATTAAAAAATGTCATTTCACACTATACGTGTTAATCGGGCAGGGCTGACCCGTTTACAACCCGGTTCAGTCCGGTACTGTAGCGTAGGGGGCGGGTTAGGATGAGTTGGGCGGGAAGTGGGTTTCAAATGAATAGTTTTTTGATACCGGTGCACCGGAATCCACTAAGCCCGTTAATCCGTTAACGGGTTTTTAACGGGCTACAATCCGGTTCAACCCGGTATCCGTTATAATTTCTTTTCTTTTCTTTTCTTTTCTGGTCATGGTAATGATTATTTGACTGTTACATGTCATTAGATAGATGATAATTTTTGTATGCAAAAATATATTATTGCTTTTAAATATGATGAAGATCAAAGTCATACTGGTGCATTTATAAGTAATACTATCCATGAAGTTGTTATATTTTATAATCTTGCACAAAAAATTTTGTGTGTGTCATTTGATAATGCTTCTAACAATAATGTTGCTATTACAATATTAAAATTACATCTACGCCCACCACTTCCTGAAATATTTCATGTTAGATGTGCATGTCATATTTATTATTTGATTGTGAAGAGTGGCCTTGAATTATTTAGAGATGATATCACTTTAGTTAGAAGAGTTGGTGTAATTCAAGGAAATAATAGAAGTGCTAGATTAAATGCATTTAAAAAAATGTGTACACTATGGACTAAAACCAAGACTCATGCCTGAAGAAATAGTTACTATGTGGAATTATACTTATTTATTCTTAAAATGTTGTTATAAATATAGAATGCATATAACTGAAGTTGCTAATTCTCATTGTACCGATCCTAGCCGTTTGTTAACATCTAGAACTCGGGATGTCATTGAAGATGTTGTAAAGTTTTTACAAAAATTTTATGTGGCTACACTTAAGTTTTTTGGAGCTTATTATCCTACTATTGCAAATGGTTTAGTTCATATTGCTGAAATTTCTCTTTTACTACATAATTTGAAGAAGAAAGAAGGATATATTTCTGTTGTTGAATCTATGCTAGATAAGTTTAAAAAATATTTATACTCAATCCCCCCTATTTACCTAATTGATGCTATTTTAAACCTTTCTATCAAAATGGTCATTTGTCACCAATTAATCAGTGCTTTATATTCTTATATGGATATTGGACCAACTGAAACTCCTGATATTGACACTTGTATTTCTGATCTATACAAACATTTAGAAACATTATATAATTATTATGCTAACATTGTTGATGATTCTTCTGTTGTAGATGTAAATATTTCTTCAAGTTCAGTTTCAACATCTGGGACCAGTGCTTTGGATGATAATGATGTGTTAAAGATTATTTGATTTGGTCTACACTAGGGGAGCATGATGTTCCATATTGCCTTCGGAGCTTGATCCTTACATATTGCCTATTGGTTTTATTAAATAATTTTTTGTAGCCACTTACTTTCAAATTTCAATTTTAAAATTGTAAAATTCAAATTTCAAATTTAAAACTTTAAACTTCAAAGTTTAATTCTAAACCTTAAAAGTTTGCAAACACTTAAGTATCAATAACATTGAATAAGAAAAATAAAATTTACTTTAAAAAAAATTACACGGCCCGGTCCAGCCTGCTAAGTCCGAACCCGGACGGACAAAAAAATCCGAAAAAGTACAGCCCGCTAATTCAGCCCACTAACAATCCGGAACGTTAAACGAACGGGCTGATTTTTTTTGTATACAACCCGTCCCAACCCGCCCGTTAAACACCCATATTTCACACTCTGAGAGGTTGATGGATAGCTCTCCCAGTGAATGACCCTTGGTGTTAAGCCCAATGCTCTGATTTCTACTGAAAGCTTGTTTTCTCACCTCAGACCTGCCATTACCTTAGTTGCCGACACTTTAGTAAAATGAAATTTCAAGCCCACTATTAATGGGCCGAGCACAAAAATTCTCATGTTGGACTTCTCATTTTATTTGTTAAATATTTGACAAAAACCACCCTAAGACTGAGAACTGATAAGCTCCAGTGTGATTAGATGAATTACATGTAATGTCTTGTAAATCCACTTGTTAGATCATATTGAGAATTTGAAACTAAGGGTATTTTATTACCTTGCACCAAGGATCAGCGCTCAATACTTTCCTATTTGCCTTGGCAATGGACGCTCTGACGCACCATATTCAAGGAGAGGTGTCATGGTATATGTTATTTGCTGATGATATAGCCTTGCTTGATGAGACGCGAGGCGGTGTCGGCGAGAGGCTAGAGGTTTGGAGACAGGCCCTGGAGTCTAAGGGTTTCAAGTTGAGCAGGACTAAGACAGAATACTTGGAGTGCAAGTTCAGTGACATGACGGGGGAAGCAAATAGTGATGTGAGGCTTAATTCACAAGTCATCCCCAAGAAAGGGAGTTTTAAGTATCTTGGGTCTAGTATCCAGGGGAACGGGGAGATTGACGAGGATGTCACACACCGTATAGGGACGGGATGGATGAAATGGAGGTTAGCCTCTGGCGTCTTGTGTGACAAAAAGGTGCCACCAGAACTTAAAGGCAAGTTTTATAGAGCGATGGTTAGACCGGCTATGTTGTATGGGGCAGAATGTTGGCCAGTCAAGAACTCTCATATCCAGAAGATGAAAGTAGCAGAAATGAGGATGTTGAGGTGGATGTGGGGGCATACTAGGTTGGATAAAATTAGGAATGAGGATATTCGGGCTAAGGTGGGGGTGACGCCTATAGATGACAAAATGCGGGAAGCGAGGCTTAGATGGTTTGGGCACATGCGGAGGAGAAGTCTTGACGCTCCGGTTAGGAGGTGCGAGCGGTTGGCTTTGTCAGGTATGAGAAGAGGTAAAGGGCGACCTAAGAAATATTGGGTAGAGGTGATCAGGCAGCACATAGCGCGACTCCAGTTCAGCTAAAACATGACCTTAGATAGGAAGGCTTGGAGGGCGAGCTTTAGGGTCATAGTAGGTAGTTGAACATTTTTCTTCCTTGTTAAGGGTGTTAGGCTAGTTTGTAGTATCTTGCTTTAGATTGTTAGTGGTACTTGTTGTGTTTGTATTGTTTTATGCTCCGATTGCCTAGTACTCTTCCATTATTCTGATTATTGATATTGCTTTTTTCCATTTATTTTTTTGATTCTTATGTTGGTGGCATTGTCTTCTTGACGTATGTGGTTGTTATTGTTCCATTGCCTCTTTTTCATCTTCTTGTGCCGAGGGTCTTTCGAAAACAGCCTCTCTATCCTCCGAGGTAGGGGTAAGGTCTGCGTACACACTATTCTCCCCAGACCCCACACATAGGATTATATTGGATTGTTGTTGTTGTTAAACAAACAACAATTTTGAGGTTGCCAAGATCCTACAGCTGAGTTAAAAATATATTCAAATATAGTATGGCTTCATTTGTAATTATTTCTGTTTTCATGAGTAACTTTCACGCTATAGGCTTCAAATTATCTATATCATCAGAAATTGGCCCTAGTGTAGAAGTAGAACTAGTAATATCTACTTGTCAAAATGCATACAAAACAATAGTGCGAAATTATAATGAAACTAAATATTTAAAAGTTAATAAACTTTAAAAAGTATCATTTCAACATTAAAGAATTAGATTGCTTGCTACTTAATAAATCCAGTATAAGCAAATCACTGGTAGCACATCACCTCGTCTTCTCTCTCTTTCATCTGCTCACGAGACAGCAGAGGTTTATCCTACAATGTGGTTACCATTGACACCTGTGGCAGCGGATATAAATAGATCTTACAATCGTTATAATATGAGTACCACAGAGAAGAAATACTGGTAGAATCATTTGGTTGCTGGTTAAAGTTATGCATGTATTAGTATTGTAGAGATTAGTTAGATAGGAATTAATTATGCAAGATTTAATTGTGAAGGGATTAGTTATATAAAGATTAGTAATGCATGGATTGTAATGTAGAGATTATTTTTTGTTGAATATTTACTTTATCCTGATTATACAATATGTAATTTAAAATAAATGAGGGTTTTTCGATCATTTGATTGTTTAATACATGTATTACTAATACATGTATTAGTTATTCCATCTTTTACCTTGCATAAATAATACATAGATTTGTTGTATAACTTATCCATGTATTACTTATACTGCCAATGGAAAAGCAATCAAACATGACATTAGTTATGTTGATTTTTGTATAAAGTAACTAAAGGCTACCAAACATGGTATTTGTTATGTTAGTCCTAGTGTACATGAATAACTTACCCTGTAATTAGCTACCAAACGACCCCTTAATGCACAATTCCACTGGAACACGAACTATGACTACAAAATTTGCTATTACAAGATCAAAATTAGTAATAGCCTGTTTGGCCAAGCTTCTCCAATCCTATAAGCCCTTTTTTTGAAAAAAAAATATTTTTTTTTTCAAAATTGAAGTGTTTGGCCAAGCTTTTGGAAGAAAAAAAAAATGCTTTTGAGAAGAAGCAGAACCAGTTTTGGAGAAGCAGAAAAAAGTAGATTTTCTCCAAAAGCACTTTTTTGAAAAGCACTTTTGAGAAAAATACACTTAGAAGTAGTTTTTAAAAGCTTGGTCAAACACTAATTGCTGCTCAAAAATATTTTTCAAATTAATTAGCCAAACACAAACTGCTTCTCACCAAAAGTACTTTTGAGAAAAGCACTTTGGAGAAAAAGCTTTTCAAATAAGTTGATATTTGCACCTTGGCCAAACAGGTTATAAGGTTGTTTTGCTTACATGTCCATTTCATTCTAGCTAGCGAAGTCTGGCGCATATTTTGAGAAACATATCTTACCAATTGAATTTCGCAGCCACTTAAAGCAAGCATTTTGATAATTGTAGAATTACGGAATACAATCTCTCATTGTACTGCTGTCCGTCTTTCACCCGTATCCTCATGCTCAACCTATAGGAGATAAAGACAAAAGGTGGGTTTTCACAAAGATTGAAGTGTGTAAAAAGCATATAATGTTTTTTTTTACCTCCACAAGCACTTTCGCCTTTTTCTTTGAATTTGCACTTGGCTCATCTTTCTCTGCTCTTCTTCTAGCTAAAACAGAATCTTTTCTACCCCTCTTCTGATGAACTGCAACAGCCTCTTCATCATCATCCTCGTCCTCGCCGTCCATTCCAACTGCCACATGGTCAAACGGATTTACAATTAGTTCAACAATTATGGCTATGAAAGACACTTCCTCACCACAATGGACATGAACAAATGCATCAGACAGAGATAAAATGGATGTATCAGCACCAATACACCAAAAGGATGTGACTGGTAGCAATTTGCAACTTCTACTTCAATTTGTTCCAAATAGTACTCTTTTCAACTTAAAATGCTCTTCTTTTTCAACTTCAGCCTAATATTGTCCGAATGCCAACTAAACATTATAGAATACAAATGCAAACTCGTTTGTTCCTGGTGTTTAGGTAAAACCTATGGAGACTCTTAAGCCTGAGTTAAATATGTGCATTGCGTCCTCACTCAAAGGATGATGTTGGCATTAATTTATTACACTAATGAAACACTGGGAATAGGATGAGCAAAGCAGAGCACATCCATTAAGAGCTTTACCAGTATCATCATCCAAGCCACTGTCTCTAATTCCAAGACCATCAAAATCTTCCATATCATCTTCCTCTTCAAGATCATCATAGCCTTCAACATATTCCACTTCATGTTCCTGCTTATTTCAATCATTAACAGCAGAATGAATAAACGACTCATCTAAATGTATCAGCCGAAGTTAACCAATTTACTTAGAAAGGCTCTGCCAGAGGAGGGTAGTCCCAGGCTCCAAGCTGGCACAACCCACCCAAACCCCCAAAAACAAGGGGGAGGGTGGTGGGGGAGGTAGCAACCAAGAGAAGAAAGGGAAACTAGAAAAACGAGAATATTTAAGAGACAACATAACAGGGGTTTTGATCAAGACCTCCTCATCTTCTTCTTCACTAACCAACTGCATTGCTTTCCTACCAAGAATCTCTAGATACTTCCGCTCAGGATAATTGTATATATCACCATACACTCCTTTAGAAAGGCGTTCCAGCAGTTCCTTCTCAATGCTCTGCAGAGTACAAATGGCATGACTTGTAAAGGAAATAGCCGATGACCTACCAAATTAAGGAAAAAAATGCTCTACCCCGAACAAGAGAAAGAATTACAAGCTTAAACTTACTTTATCGAGAAGAGCTGCTTTTTCAGCCTTTTCCTGTCGGCGAGATTCTCTTTTCGTTTCTTTCCTAGGTGTGGTCATTATCTTCTCCCTGGAGACACAACAAATTAGAGCATATAGCGAGTGCAGGAAAATGCTTTCAGTCAAACATCCATAAGCAAAGATTTATTTCCTCAAAGGGAGATACCAAAATATGGAAGTAAACAAGTCCCATCTTGAAAAAGTTGGGAGGAAAATTTATGACTGTTCTTGAGCACAACACAACTGTTACCGTTACATTTTTTGGGATAAAGCAAGCTTTCTAAGTACTAGTTTGAATTAGGATAAAATGGAATATTCTCCAATACCATCTCACCTAATTGCCATGGGAGATTGATCCCCCTAGAGAAGTTTGAAACTGTGCAGCTGTTAAAAAGTCCATTATCATATCAACTACTAACTGGAAGAATATAGTATCATTACATAATCTGGCCAGGACACCGCCATCTTCAAAAAAATTATATATATATATATGTTGTACATAATCTAGACTGGAAAGGAATAAAAGAATGCCCACGCCTTTGCAGCAGCAATGACCGCAGATACTATCATAGAGGCAGGTTATTTGAACTATCTAATTCGAGTCAAATGAGAGGAGTCCCTGCAAATAGCAATAACTATGCAATTCCAAGAAAACTATGCGTGGTACTTCCATATTTGCTCTGCAATTTATGCCCTATATTTAAAACTGGAAGAATATAGTATCATTACATAATCTGGCCAGGACACCGCCATCTTCAAAAAAAATATATATATATGTTGTACATAATCTAGACTGGAAAGGAATAAAAGAATGCCCACGCCTTTGCAGCAGCAATGACCGCAGATACTATCATAGAGGCAGGTTATTTGAACTATCTAATTCGAGTCAAATGAGAGAGGAGTCCCTGCAAATAGCAATAACTATGCAATTCCAAGAAAACTATGCGTGGTACTTCCATATTTGCTCTGCAATTTATGCCCTATATTTAAAAAATCTGCTTAATACAAGTCAATGGCATTGCATCCTTGACACAAGACTTATGATCTGAAATGGTAATTGAGCTCATTGCCCGTCAATTTTGGGCTTCCTGTGTTAAGGGCCCAAATTAGGGGGAGAGTATGTCTATTTAGCAAAATCCCTCCACCCTGATTCCAGAAACAATTCCACCACCATGAGGTATTCTAACAGTTGTAGGGCTATGGGATAGAGGGGAGGCAGGTTTTTGGGTCAATGAGGGCAAGGGTGAAGACCATGAACTAGTTAGGACAGTGGAGGAGGGATTTTTATGAGAAATAACAGTGGGGAGATGCAGTGACCGAGTGGATGGGGAAGGCATGTCAGCTTAGGAGAACCACAGATACCACAAGAACAGTTAGGAAGTTGCAGTGTTGGGAAAAACGGAAGAAAAGGGTTAGAAGGGGGCTATACGAAGGCAGTAGTTGGGGATTGTGGAAAAGGGGGGTTTACATAGAGGATGCGGTTAGCAGGCATATGCCAGAGACTAAATTAAAACCTAGTACATTCATTGTGGGTAAAAGCTGCAGCTAAACTATTCTAACTGGATAAGATGGGACAATTATGATTCGATCCGCATCTAGCAGTCATCTCATCCTTTGCCTCATTAACAAGCCAAGAGATTACTTGTTTGTATTGGTTCTTCTGGAAGCCAGGGTGTGAGAAGGTGAAACGGGATGAAGAGCCAGATTGTAAAACAAACAAGAATGTATAACTTTCAAGCATGCACCTCAAATTTCCTCTATAATAATGCTCAAGACCGTAAAAGAGTAAGACTAAAAAGTAAACTTGAGACAATAAATCACCAACCATATATACATTTAAGTGTTTAGGAGAGAATTTTAACTGTAAACCAAATTTCTGAGAAGGGAGGTCTGAACCTTGTTTTCAAAGCAAGCTTCCTCATTCTCATTCGCATCTGAGTCATTTTTGTTAATCTTTGTTTTGCCTTGTGGACAAGAAACTTTGGCCAGTACTTCTGTGGTAGTTGAGAGAGAGGGAAGGAGGGAGGAGGGAAGTTATTGCTTTGAAGAACAACAAGCATACAAAGGTAAGTGAAAAAAAAGTTAATTTCATTACCAAATGTTTATCAATGATTTCAAGAGCCTTTTCATAATTTCTTGGCAATTTAACTCTTTCCCAAAGTTTGTTTGGCATGTGAGCCCTTTCTATTGTTTTCATGTACAAATAGGACACTCCTGCATAGCACAAAAACAACTCAGAGGATCCAAAAGAAAATTCTAATTCCTCCTACAAAAATTCAGTAATTAATAAAAACTACAGAACCAGAAACAAGCAGTTTTGGAGAACCCTCCAATGAAACCAGACTGTAGATTCTTTAGACAACTTACTATGAATATCAGAACATTTTAGGATGACCGTATTAGCTTATCCCATCAAGAAAAAGTTAAATTACCCTCATGATTCATAGCTTAAAACCCAGACGAAAATGATAAATCAATATAATCCAAGTATATGGTAATTCCCCCAAGTCAATTAGCCAGACAAAAAGGGGTAAACAGGACAGGCACTTCACAACCAAAGAAACATTTTCAACTAGAACCTAGCATTTAGCACTAGTATAAAATAC